AATGTAATTGAAAATATAGATAAAAAACATAAATATTGACAGGAAATGATATTGCAGGAATTTTTCAGCCTAATATAAAGAAATGTGGAAGTGCCTAGGAAAATTTATATACAAAGTGTACACAATGACATGCGTGAAACGTCATCATTTGTGAAACCGTTGATTGAAGAAATAAGAATATGCGCAAACTTATGGGCGATTTCGTGACAAAAAAAAGTTTTTGGAAGACGAAATGGTGACTGTTCTCAAATGGCCATCGCAATCCCCAGACCTGAATCCAATAGAAAATTTATGGGAAATTTTGGATCAACACATTAGGACCAAATTCTACAAAAATAAGCAAGAATTATTTGCAGCTTTGGAAGAGTCTTGGAAAAATATCGATTTTTCTATAATTGAAAATCTTCTGGGATCCATGCCTAAGCGATGTCTGAAAGTAATTAAGAATAAGGGTACACTAAGTACTAGTAAATTATAAGTTAATTTTTCAGTTTTTGTTAACATAAGATTTTTTTTTATTAAATATATATTTTGTTCATCTACTTTTGTCCAATAGTTTTTTCAATTTAAATTTTTTGCTACCTTATTAAAGCACATTTTAAAAAAACAATGCTATTTATTTTTATAGCACTGACACTAGACTTCAAGTAAATAAAACTCAAATTTTAATTTTAAACATATTAGGAAAAACCCATTATTTTAACAAAGTTCATCCACTTATGGCCAATACTGTATGTTGCCTTATTATCAAGAAATTGTGTTTTTTAACTAAAAACTAAAAAAAAATACAAAAAATTTTTCAAAAAAATTTGAATTTTCAAATTTTTTTTTCGTGAAAAAAACCTCATAGGCGTGTTTCTGGTGTTGAACTATACTGCCAGTTAAAATACTTGCACTTATTTCTGGGACACCCTGTATATGTAGATATTTTTGAAGCCTCTTTCTGAAACCTGCAGTAATGAAATTAGTAAATATACAGAATGCAAAATGAATTAACTTTTAAAAGGTTATGTGTGGTCACGCATCTCATCGAAACAAAGTATCTGAGCCTGTTTATCAATAAATAATTGAAGATAATAAAATGATAATGCTGGAGAGAGGTCGTAAAATAATTTATTACATCATTACATAGACGTGCCTATTATATTTGTCGACGGGGAACAAAGAACAATAAGACGATAAATTTGAACACGCTCGTTCGTGTCACAGTCTAGAGGAGGTTCAGACGCCAATAAAACGAGAGAAAAATAGGCAAAAATCATGTTCAACGCAAAGTTAAATCACATAACCCGTCAAATATTCTCGCGCTTGTTTTTCGTGTAAACTATTTATAGAATTAGAAATTAAACGCGCATTTCTGTGATCTCGATTCGCAATTTGATCGGTTTGTTTAGAAAACACCGCGAAAATGTTTAAAACCTTGCCAATATTAACCTAAAGGGTTCTCACAAAGATATTTTATATAGTTTTATAACATTTATACAATTATTTTTCGATTTATTATCTGTTATAGAAATAATTTTTATAGTTTTCTAGGACACATTTTTACCAAACCAAACTTTTACAGTATTTTTTTATTTATTATAAAGTTCCAATATTTTTCTTTTATTTAAATCACGAATAAAATTTAAAAAAATCATTTGATTTAAATCACGATTTAAATCATGCCAACCCTGCAAAATAAACTTAGATCAATTTTGATTCTAACAAACAAAAAATATATTTTTTTTTGATTTTTTTTAAAACACCGATCTTGTGTAAACCAAACTATTACCACCCCAAAATTATTAATAATATTAGAATATTAGTAGGTACTCTTTTATCAAATTCATTTTTAATTTTATCCATAACATTTTTTGTGACCGTACACCCTTTAATTCTGTCAAATCTCCTCACAACCTACAAACCAAAAAAATGCACTTTTAATGCATAATTCACGGAAAAAAACACCCACTTCCGCAAAAAATCCACTAGAATAAAAGAGATAAAAAATCTGTTGCGCCATTGCGGCTCTTAGAGAGACTCCTAACCTCGACACGACTTACGCTAATTAGTAGTGTATAGAACATGGTCCTTCGGCAGCGGAGAGCCATCCACACTCACTTACATATCGTCGAAAAAACCGCGGCCGAAAGTGTGAGACAGGAAGGAAGGAAAAAAAACCGCCGCACCGGGGTTTTCCTTAAAAGGAGACGAGCATACCGAACTGGGTCTCCGAAAGGAGCAACCCTACATGATCTGTCCTGCTAATACTGCTGTATTCCGCGCGGCGTTGCCGGATGCAACGGTCGGTGTGATTGGGTCAAGAATATTCAGATTAACCTAATTATTTTACTGTTTAATGTAATTCGATTTAAGACCATTTGATGAAGCTATTTGCTCACTGATTAATCAGGACCTGCTCAAACCACTCAACGTAAGAAGCTCAATTTTGGCATACAGGTTGATTCTAGGGTGTAGAGGTTCGATAAGAAGGGATTTTTCGAAATTCCAGTTCCAAGGGGGTGAAACCACCCCTCAAATATTACAATATTTTTTATTTAAAAAACGGTCAAGTTTCCGAAAAAACGCTTAAACACGTATATTTTATTTTGTTTTTTGCACATATTATAGGATTTTTTAAAAATGTATACAGGGTGTTTCGAAAAATATGGTCATTGTTTAATCACGATCCTGCTTAAAGCGCTTGACGTAAAAAGCTGATTTTTGAAAAACGGATTGGCTTTAGGGTGTAGAGGTTCGATAAGAAGGGATTTTTCGAAACTCGAATTCTAAGGGGGTGAAACCACCCCTCAAATATTAGAATATTCTTTTATTTAAAAACCGGTGAGTTTTTTGGAAAAACTCTTAAACACGTATATTTTATTTTCTAGTTTTACATATTTTAAGATTTTTTAAAAATTTATCCAGGGTGTTTCATAAAATATGACCACTGAGTAATCACGATTCTGCTTAAACTGCTTAACGTTTAAAGCTGATTTTTGGCAAAGGGATTGACTGTGGGGTGTAGAGGTTCAACAAGGAGGGGTTTCTCGAATCTCAAATTCCAAGAGGGTGAAAACGCCCCTCAAATATTACAATATTTGTTATTTAAAAAACGGTTAGTCTTTCGGGAAAACGCTTGGCCACGCATAATTTATTTTGTTTTTTACATATTTTGAATTTTCTAAAAAATCATACGGGGTGTTCCAAAAAGTTGGGTAATTGATTAACCATTTAAAAATCAAAAGTTGTAGTCATTTCCGGCGAAACAGGAAGTGACAGAAAACAATTGAATTCGTCAATCAATCTTAATTTATGTCATATGCTAACATACCAAATCTCGTTTTTTTTATCTGAAAAAATAAAAAAGTTATAGGGGTGAGCCACTTTTGAGACGCAACCGGTATATCTCTCCATCGTCGAAAGCAAAAAACATACAGAACAAATAAAAAAACTATTTGAAATATCTAAATACAACTATACAAGAACATTTTAGTTTTTTTTCAACAGATACGTCTATAAAAACCGTTTTTTTACGACTAATTCGAGTCAGATTGTTTTGTTATGAACCGTATGTTACAATTTCAAAAAAAACATATTCAAAAATGTAAAAAGTTGACATATAATATGTCATTCTATTCAGAGTGGCATTTTTTATCAAATAATATAAAAAAATACCGACGGTGTCACTTAAAAATCAAAAGTTGTAGACATTGTCGGTGAAACAGGAAGTGACCGAAAACAATTGAGTACGTCAATCAATCCTAATTTATGTCATATACTAACGCACCAAATCACGTTTTTTTTATCTGAAAAAACAAAAAAATTATAGGGGTGAGCCAAATTCAAAGGGGTATAATATATTTTTTCCGACAAAAAAATGATTTTTTAATAAGTCTCGCAACGTCGCAGGCCACCTAGCCGAAGCAGAAAGGCAGCAGATCAATCGAGTCAAGGGCGGGTGTGAAGTTCAAGGATTGCACTGTTGAAAAGGTCCGGGACGTATTGCACGCGAAAACTTAACTATATGTTACGTACGATTATCCTTAAAAAAGTTTGTGGCTTGTTAAAACAAGAGTGGAGAAGAGATATTCATATTATATAGAGATTATTATATTTTTAAGGTTTGGTTTAGTTTTTATTAGATAATTAATTTCATTCATAGTGACTGGGTTTTGTGCTATAACCAAAATCTTTAAAAATTATAAAATAATAGTTTAAAGTTTAGAGAAAAGGTAAAAAAGATAGAATTATCTTAATAAGTTACTTTTTTGCTTCATTTGAATCCTACAACTACTTTTCATTTAAGAAGAAAAAAAAAGTAAAATGATACCTAACAAAAATAATAAATAAAATACAAGTAAAATAATTAATATAAATAAAATGTGCAAAAAAGAAATTATAAAAATAAACTCTTTTTAGAATTAAAGATAGTACCGAACCATGTGATCATACTTTTAACCAGGTAAACCAGCTATAATGGAATCAATAAGAAATATTTATTTATTTTTATAAATAAAATTACCAAAAAAAAATAAATATTGTTCTAGAACAGACAGGATACAGAATAATACGAATATATCAGAAACATCTATTCATATTTTAGACGAATAAAAGAATTAAGAAAGTGTAGACAAATCAAGGAAAACAGGTCCACCACTTAAAAAGAAAAAGAGGAAAACAAGAAGAAATAAAGCCTAAAATTAATTATGATAACAATAAAGCCATTAAAACTAAATAAAGTCATAATATAGAAACATAAAAATAATTAAATAAACTTCAATAAAAAACAGCAAAGCAAAGCTAAAGAAAATTAAATTAATTTATTTTTTTCAATAAAATAAAAAAAATAAATAAAAAATGCCGAAATAATGTTGATTATGAATTACCTTAGTTAATGAAAGTCTTGTTATTTTTCCACGAGGGTAACATAAAGAAAAAACAACCAAAATTCAGTGTCACTATTTGTCTAACCTCACTTTTAAACTAATTAAAAAAAAAGGTCAATTTTAACTCACCTCTACAACTTTAAGGTTTTGTTTATCCAGCAGGAACTCCATAGACTTGTGAGGTCTTCCGGAGTGCCCCTGTTGCCCCTCGGCTTTTTGGGGCACTTGCAAGCGAGGCTCCTGTCCCAAATCTAGTAGACTGCGGGCTTTGGCATTAGCCCCACTAGTGATAACCTAGAAAAACACATATTTAAGATTAATTTAGTGCAAAAAATATGGTTTATATATTATAAAATGATTTTTTTCGATATAAAATTATTTTTTAGTTAATTTTAGTTGTAGAGTGATGTTATACAATAATTATATAAGCTAGCAGGTTAAAGATTTGTCCGTGACGTGGTCATCGATTGTTTTAGCGTGTTGTATTTTCATAGGTACGATAACCTATATACATAATTTAACGAATTTTTGAGGTTAAGTATGTGCCTGATATAGAAGAAAAAGAAAAGAACATGCAAAATTTTAAATAGATATTTTACATTAATTTTTTCCATAGCAACTGTTAAAATTCCTTTATATCTATCAAAAATAGTAGATAAAATAGTACTTTAACCGCAAGAGTAGATTAAATGATGACTTTAACAGCGAGGATAGGTTAAAAACTTTATTTCTTCTCGCACGTTTTTTAATTGCTTCCATTTTTGAAAATTTTTGTATTCCTTTCCATAAGTTATTCGGGATTTAAATGGAAGTAGTTTGGATATGGCGTTTGTCGCCTCAGCCTGAATATCTGTTGGTAATTTACTTATTTCGTTTTGAGCCATTTCCGGCTCCAATTCAATCAGCAATCGACACGAAAGAGAATTAAAAATATTGACTCAAAACTGACAACTAAAGAGACAGCTTTATTTATTTGTCAAATTACATAGAAACCAACGCCAACCCAGCTCAATATTTTTTCTACTCATAATAAATTTCTTGAAATAATAATTTCTGAATATTTTTTAAAACTCGCTATGGAAAAAATATTTTTTTATACACGACGATAAAATTGCATTATCGTGTCCCGAAATTAATTCACATTAATCTTTCCGGTCGACGATAAAATACCATTTTATCGTCTTGTATAAAAAATAACTGTCATTTATTAGCTGATATATAGGAAAAATAATGTTTTAAAAATTTTTAAAATTATTCCAAGGCTAATTAACATATTTTATTTTAAAAATATAGCTAAATTTTTTTAAAGAGTGTTTTTTTTTATAAATTTAAAGTCACAAGGGTATAATGGATTTTCAAACTGATAATAATTGTTATAATTACATTTTGCAATGGTATGATAATCTATGGAATTAGGACAAATGTACGAAATCAATTTTTATATATATTTTGTAATAGGTATTATAGTCATGGTTGTTATGTTTTACACATTTTCTTAAAAGACAAAAGTTTTCTCTGCTTTATAAAGCAGGGTTAAATTAAAGCACTTGGTGATGAAATTTAGCTTCCGTGCTCCCTAATCTAAATAACAGTAGTTTTAACAAAATCGGTGACTTGACTAAAATCGCCAATTACCATGACTATTATTTCTATCAAAAATAACATAATTATACCAGTGTATGTATGGAAAAAAGTCGAAAAATCTCCCCAAAGAAGATAAAAATAAAAACTTGAATTTAGACACATATCTTTATAAATGAACGATAAATTAAAGCACAACGGGCCTTGATAATGAAATTTAGCCTCCCTATAACAAATTTGAGGTTATATCAAAGTACTTTGACACCTTTTAAACAACACGTAACCTTTAAGATTTGAAAAAAACTTCGTTTAACTCGACTCACCGTAACTTCGGTGTCCAGATCCGTCTCGATGAGCCCCATCGGTCCTTCCATGGAAGCATTCCCCCGCGTCCGGCGCCCCAAATCGCCGCCCGACGTCGCGACGCTGCCCGAATCGATAGTGCGTCGCCGGCGTCGGTCGTCGCCGGTGGCGCCATAATCCGGCGCCTGCGCACCCTGAGAGGGGTGTTTCTTGACGCTGGCGTGAACGACGCGCGGCGGGGGTTGTTTGGGCAGGGGCGGCTTGGCCATCAGGGGAGCCTGGTTGGTAGGGACGTTGTTGTTTTCGGGACCCTTTAAAGGGATGTAGATGTATTCGGGTTTGGTGGTGTTCTGGTTGGTTATTGGACGCGAGTGAACTGTAAGGAAGAGAAAATTGTTGTTAGTGAAAAAATAGACTTTGTTTGGGTTTTTGTTATTACCGATTCTTAACCGTCCTAGAACTGTATAATATATTGGACTTGAAAGATTCTATGTAAAATTCTTACTTAAAAGATAATGTTTAGTGAAAGTACTTTTTTATTTATAAACATTTCTTTAATTCTGTTTTTAGTGTTTGTTCTTATAGCAGCAACATAGATACATTATCTGTAAAAATTTCAACTGTCTAGCTATAACGGTTCATAAGATATACCTTTGGGACAGACGGACGGACGGACGGACGGATAGCGAAGTCTTAATAATAGGGTTCCCGTTTCTACCCTTTGGGTACGGAACCCTGAAAACCGTAGTAAACTATAGTCTCTCCAATAAAAATATCCTTGACAGTTTTAATTCTAAAGCAGTTATTTTGATTTATAGAAAAATAAGTTGGGTACAATTGAACTTCAAAGCGGGAAATAAATAGATTTAAATATTTTTAAGTTAAAAAATTAAGCATTTATTTTTTAGAGATGAGATTTGATTTTTTTAGTACGAAAAGGTCTCTAACTTGTATTATACAGGGTGGTCCGAACTATATTCCGGAAACTTCGGCTGCATATTCTGCAGATAAAAGCTTCTGCAGAGCAGTAAAAAAGTTCGTATAAATGTATGTCCTAAAATGCTTAGTTTCGGAGATACAGGGTGTAGAAGTTTCATTTTTATTTCGATTTTGTCCAAATAATTTCTGAAGTAATTCGGAATGAAGTAAAATTTGGGATCTAAATTGATAATTTAGATTCCAAATATCCCCAGAATCATTACCGCTAGCGATTTTTCCCAAGAGATCTTTTTTACGTAAAAAACGTCGTAAATATACAGGGTTGTTCACCACATACGACACGGAGTATTGTAGCTAAACGATGAGATTTTTACAAATTGTAAGTTTTGGGTTCGATGAAGGACTATTGGAGGTACAATTTAAAAATAATTTTACAAGATACAGAGTGTCCCAAATAAGTAAAAAATATCAAAGTTGTAATGGAATACCCTGTATATTATTACATTTTTAGTTTCTACGATTAAAATAAAGGTAAATTTGATTAAGGTTTATTATACTTAAACCTTACCGTATTTTCAATTTTGTGAAATTGCAGTAAAAATTTTAAGGCTTCATTTCTCCAAGAGTATCAAAGTTTTTAATACTAAATATTTACTGAAGTTTATTTACTGATCAGTTATTGTGTTGCAATAATAAAATTAATACTACCTTATACAGAGTGTCTAAAAATGTATTTTAAATAATTATTAGCTTCAAACGGCAATAACTTGTTTAATTTAAATGGAACACCCTGTATATTTTACGAGAATCAGATGCACAATTTAATTGTCTATCAAATTATATTATACCATTTTTTACCTATCTCTTTAAGTTTCCGTAGAAAATGCATTTTCTTGTAATTTAGAACCTATTTATCAATATACCCATGGACTATTGACATTTTAGATTATTTTTAAAGATGTACCAAATTTTTAAAGAGTACAGATACTAATATTGTCGATAATTAATTTAAATATTTGTTAAAGAGGATCAATTAATATGATTCCAGTATTCAAACTACATTAACTGACTGTTTGCGTTGATTAATAATAATTGCTCCAAATACTAAAAAACTGAATTTTGTATGGGCATTAGACAGTGTGATAAAAAGTAACACCTTAAAAATGATATTTCATTTTTAATAAATGCTTATTTATAATAACAGAGACTTTAATTTGATAACTTATTATTATATTGATTTCTGACTCAAATCCACATTTATATAAAATAATTTATTAACGAACACAATTAAGTATGTAATTAATTAGTATATGGGCGGAAATAATGGTGTTATACTTAATTAATGGTATACTCTTTTATAAAGATTTAAATAGTTTTCTTTTTGCATACAAATAATGGGCTAGTAATATTATCGTTTTGCTAAAAACGATAATATTACTAGTCTGTACATTTTGTACATTTGTTGCTTTAAAAACAATCTAAAATGTCAATATTCCATGGATATATTGATAAATGAGGTCTAAATTATAAGAAAATGCATTTCTACGAAAACTTGAAGGGATAGGAAAAAAATGGTATAATACAATTTGATAGACAATTTAATTGTGCATCTGATTCTCCTAAAATATACAGGGCATTCCATTTAAATTAAAGAAGTTATTGCCGTTTGAAGCTAATAATTATTTAAAATAAATTTTTAGACACTCTGTATAAGGTAGTATTATTTTTATTATTGCAACACAATAACTGATCAATAAATAAACTTCAGTAAATATTTAGTATTAAAAACTTTGATACCCTTGGAGAAATGAAGCCTTAAAATTTTTACTGCAATTTCACAAAATTGTAAATATTTCAAAAACTGTAAGGTTTAAGTATAATAAACCTTAATCAAATTTACCTTTATTTTAATCGTAGAAACTAAAAATGTAATATTCCAGGGTGTTCCATTTAAAAAAATACAACTTTGATATTTTTTATTTATTTGGGACACTCTGTATCTTGTAAAAATATTTTTAAATTGTAGCTCTAATAGTCCTTCAACGAACCCCAAACTTACAATTTGTAAAAATCTCATCGTTTAGCTACAATACTCCGTGTCGTATGTGGTGAACAAGCCTGTATATTTTTTTACTCAGTAGTTTTATACAGGTACGGACGAAAAGTTATTACTTTTCAAACCAGTTAAAAAATATGTAGGTGGCGCCCTCTACAAGTAGGAGTCATATTGACATCAAAATAAAATTTCTCAAAAAAATGTCAAAAAACATCCGGATGCTAATTTTCATCCAAACATTGATGTTACTTCAGAAATTATTTGGAAAAAATCGAAACAAAAATGAAATTTCTACACCCTGTATCTAAGAAACTAAGCATTTTAGGACATACATTTGTACGAACTTTTTACTTATTTATAATTGCAGAACATGCTGAACAAAGTTTCCGGAATACAGCTCGGGCCACCCTGTACATCTGTTTAAATAAATATATACTATATACACTTGATTATTCCGCACAGCATCTTTCTAATACCATAAACTAACGTGTCTATGAATCATCTGGTATATGTTTAACATTAGTTACATAACAAACTATTAAGTAGTCAGTTATATAAATCTCGCTACATCTCTGACAGTGTAAATATTTAAAACAGTACCGTAAAATGGGTGGAATAGAAACATAGTGGTGAATAGAAACAAAATTTCTGAAAAAAATCAAATCACGATTAAAAATATTCAAAGTAAAAAGAGTCGACATATCTAATTTTTCTATCATTGGTAATACACAATAAAATGTAAAAACTATATTTTTATCTATGGCAGCACTGTTTCTGTCAATCCGCTGATCAATAAATGTGAGATCGATTTATCACCTATTTTGTATGGCGCGAAAACTTTATAAATAAAATATTTATTTTTAAAGTAATACTTAAGCTGGTACATGTAAGTTGTTATATTATATGTATTGTTAATTATTGCTAAACCTACTTAAATATGTAATAATTTACTGTTTCTAATCACCTTGTTGGAAATAGAATAGATAAAAACCTTAACATCAATGTGTGTTTCTATTCTCCCGAATAGCAGGTGAATAGAAACACAAATGTTATTTTTATTTAATATTTATATGCATATTTTTCAAAAATCAAATTGTATGTATACGCAAAGAACAAACAAAGACCCATGTTTTAAAATATTCGGGAAAATAATATCACATTTTTATCAACCGGTATATCGCTAAAAGCCTACGAAACTGTTTCTATTCACCCCATTTTACGGTATAGTTAAAATTACATTTATAATAATACCATACGATCGAAAAAAACCGTCAGGGATGGCTTGGAAATGAGAATCACTATCATTAAATATAATATACCGATTTGGTCAATTTAGAAGTGTGGTCTGGACTTTAACGTGTGTAAGACAGAGAATAATATAAACGACCGGTTGACAGACAGAGAGACAAAATCAAAAGCGGCATACAGTGTTGCCGGTTTTTACGTTTGTAGGAAAATTTGTGTAGAAAAAAAATAAACTATTTTAGAAACTTTCATGTATACTGCTGAAATGAAGATGATAATATATCTAAGCTAAATATAATCTATTACGTCTGTAGTAAAATGAGTAACTAATTGTGAAAAATAAGGTTCCAACTCTAGATGCAACATTTTCCATAAATACCAGCAATAAAATCCAGCAATACAGCAAAGAAGAAATGTATCAACCCAATTTTTATCTCTTTTTAATACATTTAATTTTCAATTAAGCTGCCTACATTATTGTCTTACACGTTAAAATCCAGACCACACTTTTAAAATGACCAAATCAGTATACGCCAGCAGTACTAATATCACAGATAAAAACAAAAAGGAATTTTTTTGTTTTATTTTTATGTGTAATATCACTCGCTGAACCTTGGTACACTATTATTTCACACCCTGTATAATGTCATTGGAAAACGGAGTACAGTAATAATTCTGTTACTCTAACCGGTGCTTGTTTTAATTCAGTTAGTTATCATTTTTATTCAAACTAATTTTCCTAACAACATAGTTATTACCCTAGATTACGTGGATAAGTAAATCACTATGGAAACTACCGCAAACATATCAACGACTTCCATTTATCTTCTTTTTTTATTGCACACGCGGTGCTGCTACTCTATCTATCCTTGTCGAGGACCTATCGTCCGCGCGCCAAATTTGAACATTAATTTTAAAAGTATGCATGTGGCTTAATATAAATAAAAGAACAAATGAATACTTTACTTGACTATGAAAAGATAATTCGGGGACCTTAATATTAGAACTTTCACACACTAAACACTTTCTACGAGTATTTAGAAAGTCCAACGAAAAAAAATAGAAATATAATTGCACAAACTTAAAATTAACTTCTCATTGAACACACTTGCATCTTTGACTATATAAAAGCGGTC